AATATTATTTTCCGAAAATCTTCACACAAACCCAATATTAGTCTCAATGGAATAACTACATTAAAGTAACCAGAATCTTGATCAATAATTGTTGATGAAGATTTGGGAAACYATCCAGCATTTTGAAGTGCAACACTTTCATTAGCATTGTACGTTGCATAACCTTTCATAATTGAAGCTAAGCCAGGATTTCGTACTCTATCAACGACATTACCAGCAATCTCATATCTTACTTCATCAAACATTAACATTATACCATTATTAGCAAATCTGACGTTTGGTGAAAATATGGTTTCATGTTTATCATTTGTTGCGATTACTTTTCCTTCAATATACAATGAACTCAACCAAGGAAGAGTATACACATCTTGATGTTCAATTGGTAATCGTATTTCATCATTCAAATTGAAAGAAGTGGACGCGTATGGTTGATGCGTACGTTTTTCAGCATAACTTATTGATGTATCAAAAACAGCTTTTTCATTTACATTTAATATTTCAAAGTTCATTATGGATACTTTTTTAAATACACGCACACACACTTACGAGTAGTTTACACTAATACAGTTAAACCGAGAGATTTAAGAAAGTTCCTGTTTTTCGATGTTAATCGTTTTAGTCTACGATGTCGACTAATTGGTTTAATGTTTGTTGACGTATTTATATAATTTTGATTGATATTAAATCGTTTACGGTAAGAAKCAAAAACTAATCCCATATTTTTTGTTTTATGATGAGAGGAGCTTTTTAAGATGCAACCTTACCGTGATGGCTTCACCACGAAAATTGACTACATTTCCATCTTGATCAGTTATTTTAAGAACCAATAAAGGAATTTCATTTCGATTAATTGGTAAATAGATAACATTAGTTGGCGCTTCTACAATTCGATATCCGGGAGGTACAGTTGGGAAAAACTCATGTAAAACATGTACTGCTTTTCCATTTCTATATGAAGATGATACTAGATTGCAATGTACACATAAAGCGTTTACTTTATGAATTTTAGCAGGTAAAGGAGAAATATGTTTTATATTAGGTTTTAACATAATTGATGTAAAGCCTAATATACTAGCTATGGTATTTTCTTTAGTGAAATCAATTGTTATGGTTGATTTAATTTCTACTTTTAACGTATTTGGGTTTGATTTTATTGATAAAATAGGTGCCCTCCCTTCATGAATATTGTTATTATTTGCATCATCAACTAGTTCAGTAGTATCTTTAMWAACAAGTATTATAGGATTAACATGATTCATACTCTTCTTTTCTTCATCTTGTTGTTGGATATGATAATATTTTTTAACAATTTCTTTATTAAGATATGTATTAATATCAGCAATTTCATAAGATCCTTCAGGTATTTCTATACATACCTCTTCATTATCTTCACTTATATAAAAGAACTTATTATTTGTGTAATCAATATTCGGAAATGAATTATAAGTTTCTAGGTTAGTTAATCCAATCACATAACTGCTATCATTTTCTAACGTTATTGATGGACTATACTCAGACATCAAAACTGAACTGTTGCCAGTTAAAGTAAATGTCATTGACATTTTATCTCACTGGTATATAGGTTAGTAGAGGTAACACGTATTAAACAACCTTGCTTACCACAAGGAAATGAATACTATCACTGAATGCCTCTGATAATTTTACGTCTTTAAATACTCCTTTTACAACCGACTGTTTGTTACATTGATATGCACATTTTTTGAAAGGTYGTTGTGAGCGCTGCAAGGTTTTAGATTATATAGCAAGTTGTGATTACGACGTTTCATCTTGCAGAGCAATACGAGAACGAATGTAATACGAGAATCTCTCTTCTTTTATTTGCATTTGTAGTTGTTGTTATTGTACAAGAATTGAAGGCATAAATGTCCACAATTAACCGTACCATATTTTTGAATTTGCTCATGATTGTATAGGATTTTACATGATCCATTGCTTTCTAAATATTTAACTAGTTCTTTAGGTGGTTGAAGATTACCATAACTATCAAAATAGATAGCTTCACGTCCACGTTTTACGTAAGCTGTCCAATGTGTACCACTACCACTATCATCATCTAAATTTAGTATTCCACATTCATTGATTCGTACACCTTTAGGTAACAAATCTCTCATAAAAATACCTCTAAAATTTCGAATTTTTAACATTTTACAATACTTACATAGATCTATATCAGTAAGAGGACGTTTGGGAAGCTTTATCGATATTTTTTTGGAAATTTCGAATGATCTAAAAAAAGACCGAGACCTGTTTTATATGGTTTCAAATAAAGTCCATTTCCATCTTTGTTCTTTCCTATGGCAACAGCTTCCATTGCCTGATTGTGACGTTTACTTTCTTTAAGTTGCTCATTAGCAACCTTCGCTTGGTTGACGGCCCTGGCAACGGCTGCGGCACCACCACCCAAAGAACCTAGAGCCCCCAAAGCAGCAAAAATTGGTAAAAGAGGCAGTGCACCACCAGTCCTCGGTACCGGGATCACTCTCTTTGGATGTACTTTTTTTTTGCCTCGAAGTTGTTTTACAGCTTTTATTGCTGCACCTATAGCACTGTTCATATTATCAAATTTTCCACTATTTAAAGTGTTTTTCGCTTTGCTTATTAAATCACTAAATTTAATTAGTCCTTTTCCTGATTTTTTCACTTTACCAATTCGTGATCTTCGTCGTCTGCGTTTTTGTATTTCATTCATTTTATTATTAGAACATCCCATTCCAAGTTTCAATTTGGCACTCATTGCTGTTGAAACACCTAAAGCAGCAGCTTTCTCACCAAAAGAAGCGTCAGCAGCACGTCTTCTTTCTTTCGCTCGCTCGAGTAGAATGCGGTCAGMTTTRTGTCTGTTTTCTAAATCTTGATGCTCGTTATAAGCAATATCGTGTTCTCTGCAAGCTTCATCTAATTTGTTAATACCACGATCTCCTCGCTCTAGTCGTTTTTGAAGTTTGGTTCCTGGACCACAAAACTGATATCCAGGAATGTGYAATTCAAATGGTAATTTATTAATAATAGAATTTACAATTCCTGAACCAACAGCCACACTTTGATACCGTTTCTTTCTTTTCAAAGCTCTATTATGACTGATAAGTTTTGATTCTTTTTCAAACATTTATACTTTTTTTTTTTTGCTTTCCACGAATGCGTAATATTTCTAATAACCTACAACAATGTTGAGAGATTGGAGAAAATTTAACTACTACTAACTCAACCGTTTGAAGTAGGAGTATTTATACTTATACCACCTTCCTCTTTTATTCCCTTCTGTTGTTTTCTTTCCATGTTGTTAATTTTCAATTCAAGAAATGGTTTAAGAATCATTTCTACATCACGAATTCGTTTCTGAAACCACATTCTATCGCTTATCCAATAACCTTTCCTATCTTCATCAGMATCATTCAGAACATGAAGAGTAACATCTTCATTAAATCTTACACATTTTGAATTTTTCATTTTAGGTTCTGATTAACCAAATCGGGTTAGGTTGAGGTAGGTCAGGTCAGCTCAGGTTAGGGTAGGTTAGGGTAGGTTGAGACAGGTCAGGCTAGGTCAGGTTATGTTGATGAAATGTAGGAAAAAAGACTTTTTTTAATGTTCATTTAAGTTAGAAAAGTGTAGTAGATCTAAATGAAGCCTAAAAAAGATCTTCTAAGAGCACACCATTTTTAGTAAGATTTTGTTCGCTATATATATATATATATATATAAGTCTTTCGCGCATCCAACTCTACTGCGCGAAGACGCATTTATTTAAACGTGATAAACGAACAAAAGCCCGCGGTTACGGTTTGTTATCGCAAGGAACGGAAGGAGAGTTAGGTTTCAATTAAACACACAATCATACGAGCGTGGGCGTACACCACCTCCGCGTTTATTTCTTGTCTGCTGATGGATACTAACAGTATGCAGCACAATATACAAAGTAATGTTTACTTAATTGTCACCTTTTTAAAATCTATTAAAACTTTATATATCTCCAAATCTTCTTTCAATCGCTTCAAATTCAGCAAATGCAATTTTACTCGATCCTTCAAATTCTCCATTTGTTTTTGTTGATGAACTTTGAAACGTTTATCACGCTTATTTCTTCCAACCGTTGTTGCACTGTTTTGATTTATTTGAATATGATTATTATTGTGACGTTGGATTTTGAATCTAATGTCTCTCCTATTTCTTTCTGCTGTTGTGGTTGCACTGTTGTTTTGAAATTCTTTAACATCATTCATTTTTCCACATAAACTATATTCACACAACCACTAAACTGAAAGAAGAATGAATAATTCCCATAGCTGAGTTCMCAGCTTTATAAAGGTGCCTTTAGGAGATCTAAGGGGTCTGAGGTGTTAGGAACTTACGTAATGAGTCACAATCTAAAAATAGTTGTGACTCATCAATCTAAAAATAAATATGTCTCATCGAATGCTGACTCATCAATCTAAAAATATTCATGACATCATTATTTAAAAATAGTCATGACATCAGGGTAAAATTTGTGGTAGGGGATTCCCGGAGATTACCTGCT